CGTTGCAGTTCGACAGGAATAAAGTTCAAAGTGTCCTCTCAAAGGGGAACATGGTCATGAGTTCATGATTGAATCCTGCACTGTAACCACAAGTCACGGATCGGCTTCATCACCGCTGACGACAACATCTCCGCCTCCCGTCCCCAGTCTTCCTCGTCCGCTGCTTACTCTGAATATTTGAATTTTGAACATCCCACTGCTCATGCCCTCGGCCGGATGAATATCTTTATTGGAGCGGAGCTCCTTTCCTTTGTTTCACTTTAGTTCCCTCTTGCTGCGTGGCTGTGGCTTGGCTTCTTTTCCTTTTCGCCTTGGCCCCTGACGTCGCGAGACATACAAATAACAGAATTCCTCTCGCGGACGGATCAATTGACCGTTCCATGAAGCCTCACTTCCTCAGCCGATTGTGAGTTCCCTTAGCCTGGGTTTTCCTAAAGGCGCCCGCAATCGCTTGCCCAGGTCTTTCTCGCGCAGGAGCCTTTGCGGATGAAGTGCTCGGTTCATTTTTGCAAGACACCCTGCCCTGCTGAACACTGATGCTAACTGTATTTTTCATGGATTGTTGTAGCCAATTACTATTGATTATTCCTACTAGCGTATATCTTCACAACCACATCTCATGATTTTCTCACGGCGCGCGATTCCGCTCCTCGGTCTCGCCTTCTTTATCGTCTTCCTATACACGGTCAGCAGTCTTTCCCGGCAATGGCGGAATATGCCACAGGTGGTTGGCCTGGGCGACCTGGTTGCGACCCCGTATCCAACGGCGTCTGGCCATGTGAACGTTTCTGGGGTGGTTGATAAGCCTTCAAGAGAGCCGTACGCGCCTCGACCGCATTATGCGCCTGGTGTTCCTAAACCTCCCGGGTCAACATATACTAAGGCCTTGGTGGTGCCCCAAGCTGGTCTTGAAGACACCGAATGGATTCAATTTGAAATTCCAGAGTGGCAGCCTGCCGTTTACGTGGTTGACGATCCCTCTGCGCCTTTACATCCTCCCAAGAACAAGGGCCATGAGGTTATAGTGTATCTGAGCTATATTATTGACCACTACGACAAACTACCCGACATCATTGCTTTCATGCACTCACATCAGTTCGCTTGGCATAACGATGAGATCTTCAACGGTAATGCTGCCGAGATGCTGCAACGTCTAAACCCCGCGCGGGTAGTCCGAGAAGGGTTCATGAATTTGCGTTGTACATGGGCACCTGGCTGTCCTGATTGGCTACATCCAGGCACATTGGAAGAGAATGAACAGAAGCAAGAAGAAACCATGCTGGCCAGGTCGTGGGGCGAAATCTTCCCGGATGACCCAATTCCTGATGTCCTCGCACAACCATGCTGTGCCCAATTTGTCGTTTCGCGCGAACGCATTCTCGCGATCCCGAAAGCTCGCTTCGTTTACTATCGTGACTGGATTCTCCGAACGGAACTGAGTGACTATATCTCTGGCCGAATCTGGGAGTATCTGTGGCATGTCGTGTTTACGGGTGAAAATGTCGTCTGTCCCAAGGAGCACGTCTGTTATTGCGATGGCTACGGAATTTGCTTTGGCGGCGAGGAGGAATACGACAAGTTCCGAAAACTACATTCGGAGAAGGGAGAGTTGGAGGAAGACCTCAAGTTCTGGCGCGGAGAAGCAGAGGCCATCGAAATCGAGCGAATCGTAGGCACCCTAGGCGAACAAAGCCACGTCTCAGTGCCCGATCCGGGTAGGGATACCGAGCTAGAGCAGCTAATTGTCGAAAAGGAACGGACAATCGAAGAGATGCTACGCAACGCCACCAAGCGCGGAGAGGACCCAAGAGCGAGAGCGTTAGAGGCAGGCAGGCTATGGAAGGAAGGAGATGGGTTCTAAACGGCTTACGATGGCACCAAATACTCATAACTCACGGCTTCGCTGGCCGGCTAATGATCTTACACAGGACTTTGCGGACCCTGGACATTCCCCCAGTCTCGGTGCTCTTTTCAAGACTTTTCATTTCCCCATACATATACACTCACGCTCACGCCCGCAGCCATAGACTTACCTTCTTGTTGATATTTCTGCATTATGGTCTCGGAGACCGTGTGGCTTTCGTGTGCCTCTCGATGCTGTTTAGTTCTACCCTTCTTGCGAAATATTTGGGATTGGATACTTGGATTGTTTGAGGCCTAAGTGGTCTATAGTGTTGCCATATGTCCCCAAAAAATGTGTTGATACCTACTCCAATTGCAGTTTGGCTGGTTCCAAATGGATATTGATAAAGGCAGAGAAAATCCGTATTATTCTTTTCTATTTTTACAATTCTTCCTTGTCTTTTTTTGGAATATCCATTCCCCAGGAGTAAATTGACACATTCCATCATGACGTAGTAAGTAACCGGAGTAACCCATGGCTGTAGTCACGTGATACACCTTACGGTTGACGACTTTACAGAGTTTGCATTGTCTGCCCATCCTTCAAACCGCGCAAACAACGTCATCTAGGCCCGAAGCAAGCGATCTGATTGATTAACTTATCGCGAATCGCGCGAGCTCATTCGGATAGACGTACTGGAGCGTTCTGCCTCCGTATCTTCGTCTGTCTTCTTGGACAACGAGATCTGGCTTTGCGCCCGCTTCACGGAAGCTCCGGGCTCATTGGCGAGTCTTGTTTTTCTTGCGAGCCAGCAAGGGGACTGCGCGCAGTTCTTCGCCGAGCGTATTCGTTTCAACCGGTCTATGCCATTTACTTCTAGGTAGCTATTGCCTTCGGAAACTGACGAGGACGGTTGAACGCTACAAGCGGCAAGCCTTTAGTTCTAGTGCGGTTCTCTTTGAGCGCCAAAAACAAAATCCTCCGCACCAACCCACCGCTATCCTTCGCGCGTCGCGTGGTTATGGTGATATAGATTGATACCGGTTCTCACGCTCCCCGGACTCGATTTTTTCTCAAGACTTCCTCTGAGACGTAGACGGGCCCTTCTTCATTGCGGCTGTCTACGCCCAAATTGCTGTCATGACGTCTTCTGCCTCCCATCACCAACATCCTTCGTCTTCAGTCGCTGAATTTTCCGCTCACCAAACCGCTTCTTCCTCCAACATCGACCCGAACGGCAACATCGCCACTAGTGGCTATGCGCCAAACGAAAGTCAACTGGCTGGGCTGGTAGAAGCTGCTACTGCAGCAGCTGGTCAAGACGTATCACCGGAATGGGCCGCCGCCGCCGCCGTCGCAGCCGCAGCTGGTGCTGCCGGACACCAGCATCATCTAGACGGCTACCCCTCGGATATGCATATCGAGGATGATAGCTTTGCAGATGCAGGTTTTGGGACAGGGCTGGGTGCTGGAAGACAGTTACGAGCTCCAGGGCCCTCCGCCAATGAACACAGTCAGCCTTCCGGACTGTCAAGAACTGTATCAAAAAAGAGAAAGAGAGATGGCCCACTTGACCCAGCCTTAACAGCGTCCGGACCTGGTGGTCACCAGCAGCAGCCCCATCAGCACAATTCGCATCATTATGGCGGTGAAAGTCTAGATATCCGATCTGCGCCTCCCCAGTCCTTATCGGAAGCGCGCGCGGTCGGTTTACATTCCGCAGCTGCTTTGTTCCGTCAACCCTCGAGCAACAAGAAGTACACACGACCACCCATGTCGAGGCTTTTCGCTTCACTGGAATTATCACCAGAGAATTTCCTACATTTACAAGCCGCTGCCAAGGCATATATGCTAGATGACAAGCATCCAGAGCGACGTGAGTGTGTCGGTCAACGTGGCAAGGGTGACACAGAAATGGTTAAATTGAGACTCTGGAATTGTGTGCGCCACTTTCTCGAAATTGAAGGGAATGGTGAACGCTTTTTCGGTGAAGATGTAATCAACGAGGGCATGGGTCCCAGGACCTATGTATGGCCCCGGGATCAGCAGAAAATCATCGCACTTGTCATTCCACTGCTACGGCGTATGGTCACCAATGAACGACAGAGGCAGTATGCCGTTGAGACGAGGAAAGGGGGAGGATCAGAGGAACGACGACGAAGGAAAACAGAAGATAGCCTCCAGAATATGAATAGTGCTAGTCCCCCGAAGTTCCCCGTTGAGGAACAACTCCAGATGCATGCACAACATCATCCTCCTGAAGGGTATGCGCCAACACACCCCGAGTTGGGGGCGACTTCCCAAGACATGGAGTTGGGCCTGACAGATCTCCTTCCTGACGGCTACCCAGCTGACTGGAATGCCATCTCTAAAACGTACGACATCTACAATCAAAACTACGAGCTCGACAACCTGTGGTATCTCTCGGGCCTACAGCAGCCGGATTGGCGTGGGTTAGTAGCTGCTGTTGACAGCCATTACCAGGTCATCCACAACGGCGGTTTTGATTGTCCCACACCATGTGAGGACGAGAATATCAACCATATCTTACATGCAAACTCTGTGTCGTGTTTAAGGTGGAGAGTTGGCGGGCATCGAAATCAAGTTGCCAGGAATGAGTTGTATGTTGCCACCCTCCCATGACCACCTTCCTCGGTATATAACATGAAACTAACTCCCTTGTAGTGCAAGCAGTATCACCCGTGACATTTCTCGCATTATCCGTGATAATATTGCAACGAAACATGGCGTACAAACGTCAACCGACGACCACGCGTCCATGCACCCATCAAGTTTTCCGCCCCTCCCAACGGGTCTAACTATGCCAAACCCGCCGACAACCTCTCAAGCGCCAATATCTTTGCGAATAAATATCATGCAGAACGGTAAACGTGTCCTTCCGCGGGTAGATCTTCCTGCAGGACACTGTCCGGACCTTGAGACTTTGAAACAGCTACTCTGCCGTCGATTCGCGGGCCAGTTGCCAGGTCTACCTTCTGACCCGTCGCTGGACCCTGCAGCCTGGATGTCTTCGGTTGGCTGGAGATTCCGAGTCTGGTTGCCCGAGGGCTTGACTCCTGTCCAGAATGACGGCGAGTGGACGATCGCACTCCTCTCTGCGGGTAACGTAGACTGGATGGACGGTGATCTACGAGTTCTTGTAGAGCTGGAGAGTGCCTCTTAGTAGTGTCTCTCATTTTCTGGGTAGCCAACACACCCTACTCTTCTCTTTCCCCCTTACTATCTGGGGTCCAACAACAGAATTGCCTTCTCACATCCCGTGGCCTGTCTTCCCTGGAGGATACGAGCATTAATAATCTTCTTCTATCTTTGTTCTGGGCCTTCTTCTCCATCTACCTCCTTTTACCTTCTCTCTATCTTTTTCTCCTCACTCCGCTTTGCATATAAATATCCATACCTAACCTTCCTCCTCATTTCGGTGAACGTTGACTTTTTTTTCGGTTCATACCTTCTGATGCCCATTACGGACATGACTTATCAGGATGAGACATGATGTAAGTGTATGCTGGCATTAGTTGCATTTAGGAGGTAGAATAGTGCTTTTTAATACGACGTGTCCAGCGCGGTCTGAAGTATAGTCTGAAGGCAATGCGACTTCTGATGTAGCTCAATAAATAATTTGTAAAAATGAATTTCAAAGAGCACGGGAGCTTCTGAATTTTCTCTTCCTTCCTTTTCTTCTTCTCTTCTTCAGAAGAAGGTCATGGGTATTGGCGTCTGTAATCCCTGTAAAAACTTGAAGTAACATTTATATTTCCCTCACATGGAGTCTTTCCCCGACAAACTACGGTCTACCATCAATCTTCACTCCTCAATTTAGCACCGCTGTTGTTATTGTATAGTAACAGGTTTTAATTTTCATTGTTTTTCTGCTTCTTCTTTCCTTCCATTTCGCCAAACATCTTATTTGCTACTTCAGACATTTTGGGGGTTGGTGATGGGTACCCTCTCCCGAACTCTTGCCCTAACTGGAACTGTGAAGCCTGTATTTACTCAATTCGTACAATAGGAAAGGTTTGGTATAATAAAGCCATACTGTTCATATTTGGAAGAGCTGATTACGCCGAATCTGCTACCTAAGTATATGTTATAGGATATAGACGGACGCGTTGTGAGATGTGAAGCTAGCTCCGGTCTTGACTGGCGCTCGCTAGCTGCTGGCTGACCCAGACAACGGGTTTCACAGATTTAGGATGGCCACAGTTTAAGAAGCAGTTTCCAACGCTAAGTAAGCGTTTACTAGCTCTTTCCGTGCTGTGTGTGATGCATTCGATAAGCTGTTCACAACCTAGAATGCAGTTTAGGTTGCTCTGTACCCTTGTGATCATGACGATACATCACCTCAAAGACCATAATGGTACATGTCAGAGGAAGCTTAGGGCCGTCGCCTGGAATCATCTTGAGATCATGAGCAAGCTAAATGATGGGTAGTGGCAGTGGGAGCCCCGCCGATCCATTGCATGAATACAAGCCTTGTGAATATTGCTGAGTGCTTGCTTTAGCTATTGGCTGGCGTTGTCGCACTGTCTTCGCTGTCGACCACTCCCAGCCGAGCTTTCTTAGCTCTGCGCTTCATCTCCCGTTTCGACAGCGGCTTTTCGGTCTCCACTACAGATGCTTTCCTCTTGAGAGTGTCGCTGTTGCTCTCGGATTGAGGGGTGTCGTTTTGCTTGGATGCTGCGCCTTTTTGTTTAGACGCAGGCTTGTCGGTCTTCGGCTTTGGCTTTTCTCCACCGTCAATGACATCAATAATTCCACGCCAGCTCGTGCGCTTCAACTTTGCCAGCGCAACCGTTTTTCTTGCCTCCTCGCAAATAGCCTCCTTGCCACGCTCTTGTGACAGGCCCCATACACATGCCAGATTAATCACATCCCACGGCGCCCGAACACCCAGAGCCTTCCTGGCCTCACTGGAGATAATGATTCCTCTTCCGCGTGTTGCGCGGATCAGTGACATAGCATTCCCGATGAGGTTGCGCCGGGCGTCGGCGCCGCTCCCCGTGACTCCCGGCCCGTAGCAAATTTCAAAGCGAATTCCTCGTGCGATAGCGGCGGAGAGCATTTTAAACTTGAAGTGGTATGGCTGGCGCACGGAGAGATCTAAGGAAATCACGTCGCATTCCAGATTGGTGCACGCATTCAACAGGGCCTTTTCATTGGCAGGGCGGATTGCTACTAAATCATACGCCTGAGTGAGGGTGGTAAGTCGCTGGTTCTGCGTGGGGTCGGAGAGTGGTACGTTCACGCGGGTGAGTAGCGTCAGGCCCTTGGGAACATTGGTGGGAACAAGTGGGGGAGTAGGATTTGGAGGAAGCTTTCCGTTGAGGGTTTGCGAAAGGGCGATTGTCGTGTAACCGACTGAGAGTCAGGTCAGCTTCCTTCCAAGGTGGTCATCTCCAACATTGGTCGTGTGGCCGGGAAAAATGACATACGTTCTGCAAGAAAGCTTAAAGTTGGAGCGATCTCGGGATCGTCTGGGCCGTACGGCACGTTGAGATCGTAAAACATTGTGCCTGTTGAGCTTTAAAAGCTTGAGCCAAGCCGGGTGTTTGGAATCGTCGTTCCAAAGGATTCTTTTTTAGTGCACGAGAAGTATATCTTGGAAACTGTCCGAGAAAGGAAATCAGAAAATCGCCCGCGTCAATACCTTCTCCGAGCTCCGGTCTAGCCTGATCGATAGCATTGCCACGTGATCCGTGAAAGGCGGAGCGAGACGCTCTTAGCCCATTCTGATCGTCTACCCTCTGATATATAGACTCTCCCTCTGGTTCATCGTTGTTCGGGGCGATAGCACGGCTGCACTGTTTGGACGGGTTCCTTAGCTCCTAGTCTTGCAGCTGTTGTTGTCTGTCCTTCAATTCGGATATTTGGTTGCGACTATTCCCTCATCTCTACTCCCCTCTACCCCGCCGCATTTTATCTTCGCCATCCGATTGTGGGCGGACGCGAAATCTGTTTGTCAGCCGCCATCACCATGGCGCGCGTTTATGCCGATGTTAACGAGCATATGCCTCGGTCCTACTGGGATTATGACAGTGTAAACATCTCTTGGGGTGTTCTGGAGAACTATGAAGTAGTCCGCAAGATAGGTAAGGCGCAACAACGGGATCTCTCCGCTGCCACCTACCCACACCGATATGGTTGTCGCGGGGCTAGGCGGTCAGTGCGTGATGGTGATGATTAATGTTAACAATCGCTACTATAGGCCGTGGAAAGTACTCGGAGGTCTTTGAGGGCATCAATGTTGTCAACTACCAGAAGTGTGTCATCAAGGTCCTCAAACCAGTCAAGAAGAAGAAGATTAAGCGTGAAATCAAGATTCTTCAGAACCTGGCAGGTGGTCCCAACGTGGTAGCGTTGTTGGATGTGGTCCGCGATAGTCAGAGCAAGACCCCGAGTCTGGTTTTCGAGTATGTGAACAATACCGACTTCCGCACACTCTATCCGCGATTCTCCGACTACGATGTCCGCTACTATGTCTATGAGCTCCTCAAGGCGTTGGACTTCTGCCACAGCAAGGGTATCATGCATCGTGATGTGAAGCCTCACAACGTCATGATCGACCATGAGAAGCGCAAGGTGAGTTTTGACGGCCGGAATTGGTGTATATACATATACTGACCTATCTCCAGCTGCGTCTTATCGATTGGGGTCTTGCCGAATTCTATCACAAGGGTACTGAGTATAACGTTCGTGTCGCCTCTAGATACTTCAAAGGCCCCGAGTTGCTCGTTGACTTCCAAGAATACGACTACTCTCTGGACATGTGGTCACTTGGTGCCATGTTCGCATCTATGATCTTCCGCAAGGAGCCTTTCTTCCACGGAAACAGCAACTCCGACCAATTGGTGAAGATCGCCAAGGTCCTCGGCACTGAGGAGCTCTTCGAGTATCTGGATAAATATGAAATTGAGCTGGACCCTCAATATGATGAAATTCTTTCCCGTTTCCCTCGCAAGGCCTGGCATACCTTCGTCAATGCCGAGAATCAGCGTTTCGTCTCTGACGAGGCCATTGATTTCCTAGACAAACTTCTCAGATACGATCATGCGGTATGCATCACACATCTCCCTTCCGTAACATATCACTGACTGTCGTCTAGGAACGTCTGACCGCACAGGAGGCCATGGCTCACCCTTACTTCGATCCTGTCCGGCCAGAAGTGCAAGCTCAGAACAATAGGGGATTGTAAACATAAACCGCAAGCGCGCACCAGAGTCTTATAGCTATTATACACAGAGCCCTCGGGTTTACTGCATAGCACCCTCCACGAGTATTTGACCATCTGCTGCTGCTGATAAACATCGATTTGGTTTACATTTTGAGTGCCTTGGGTTGAGACAAGGAGATGAGTTTATTACAAGAAAGAACTACAAACGGCGACGTAACAAATGGTTGTTGTGTCGCTCTGGACAAGAAAACACTGAGAGCGCCATGGATGCGATGAGTTATGCCATATGGACGGAGACGATGATGATGAAAACAGATGACATACACTTAATACGATGGGCCACCGAGCCCATCTCAGCTCATTACTCTTGGCGCACCAAGTGAGGGGATTTATCCGATGGTGTTTAGAGTGGGATCAACGGGCTTGACGGCTGGTGCCTTCTGCACGAGCACGGCTGTCTCAGTCTTGTGCAGTTTCTACCATCCTTCTTTCCTCGTAACTGTTGGACCGTTGTCGATGGGATATCATTCTTCGCTGCCATTATTGCATTTTGAACTTTGCCACTTCTACCCTTTGATCATATTTCCCGTGTGCAACTCCTTACTGCGTCATTAAACGGCGTGAGGGTCTACATAGTTTGGTGCTTTATGAATCTGGGCTTTCCCTTTTTTTCAGGACACTATTGAATGCATTGTGGAATAGTTCCGCCCCACTTGATATCTTGAGTGCAAAGGTTATATAGATAGCGCGGGCCTGGGAAGAATCCGGGGGATAGTCTCCGGAGAACAATAAACAATCCTCGTCTCGATCCGATCTGGACTGGAGTAGCATTCCTGCCGTAGCAAATGTCCGTAGCCTGCCGTCTGCAGTGACTGGACAGCATCATCACGTGATGTGACTCATGGGCGATGGCATAAAAAGTGAGAAAGGACAAGACCGAGAGGACGCGCGAGCGAAGGAAAAGTGGTCAATTCGAGGGTCCTTGGGGAGTTGAACTGCCCGACCCATGCCTCAGGCTTAATCCTACTACAACCTCCACTGGAACCAATCGTTCTCCACCGGTGGTGTTTTTTTGGGCCCCGCACTCTTCTTGCAACCTCTGATTCGTTCCGTTCTTTGCTCTGCGCGCCAGGAAATTTAATTGCCCGCATTCGCACAACGAGCGACCCCTCCCCCTCCTTGTTCTCTATCGCCGTTGGAGTCACCGGTGGTCAAGATACTTATCCGACGATTCGTGGCGCGATCGGCGCCTTGGAGATTCCCTCCTCCTATCTATCGATCATTTTCCAGGATGGCCCAGCCTTCTGCCCCCCAGAATCCCAGTAAGTGCTCTTGACTTGGTTCGCCATGACTCATTGTCGGCGAGCTATGGATTAGAAGCTAACGGGATCGTGTGTCATGACAGCTGGTGAGCCCGTGGCTCCCGTGGTTGACACTCCCCCCCAGGCCGATGACCAGACGAGAAACCAAAATGCCGATGCGGCTGCTCCTCCTAAGGTGAAGACCGAGAAAGAATGTATGTTGCTTGCCGTCCACGAACCCATCGCATAGGTGCGTCGCTGGGGTATGGAAACGACTGACACCGGTTCTGAATGTATAGTGGAGCGCGAGCGTCGCAAGGCTGAGAAGGCAAAGAAGTTCGCCGAGAAAAAGGCCAAGGCAGCAGCGAAGCCCGCCCCTGCCCCCAAGGCCGAGAAGAAGGAGAAGAAGGTCGAGAAGGACAAGACTACCGATGCGTACGACCCCAAGACCATCGAGCCGGCCGTTATGAATGGTGGGAGGAGCGTGATCTTTTCAAGCCCGAATTTGGCGCCGACGGCAAGGTCAAGCCCGAGGGCCACTTCGTCATTCCTATCCCTCCTCCTAATGTTACCGGATCTCTCCACATGGGTCACGCCCTCACCAATGCCCTCCAAGATACCATGATTCGTTGGCAGCGGATGAAGGGCAAGACCACCCTGTGGTTGCCCGGTATGGACCACGCCGGTATCTCCACCCAGAGCGTCGTGGAGAAGATGCTTTGGAAGAAGGAGAAGAAGACCCGCCACGATTTGGGCCGCGAGGTGTTTACAAACCGCGTGTGGGAATGGAAGCACGAATATCATGCCAACATCAAGAATGCCTTGCGCAGAGTGGGTGGTTCTTTTGATTGGTCTCGCGAGGCCTTCACCATGGACCCTAACCTGTCCGCCGCCGTCACTGAGACTTTCGTTCGCCTGCATGAAGAGGGTATCATCTACCGTGCCAACCGCCTGGTCAACTGGTGTGTGGCTCTGAACACATCCCTCTCTAACCTGGAAGTCGAGAACAAAGAGGTTGAAGGACGTACCCTGCTTGATGTGCCCGGCTACGAAAAGAAGGTCGAATTCGGTGTTTTGACTCACTTCTGCTACGAGATTGATGACACCAAGGAAAGGATTGAGATCGCCACTACTCGTCCCGAGACCATGATCGGTGATACTGGTATCGCCGTTCACCCCGAGGACAAGCGCTACCAACACCTCATTGGCAAATGTGCCAAACACCCCTTCGTGGACCGCTTGCTTCCGATCGTTGCAGACACCGATGTCGACCCCGAGTTCGGTACCGGTGCCGTCAAGATCACTCCGGCTCACGATTTCAATGACTTTAACCGAGGAAAGGCCCACAACCTCGAGTTCATCTCCGTGATGAACGACGATGGTACCTTCAACAAGAACGGTGGTATCTTTGCCGGTATGAAGCGTTTCGACGCTCGTTACAAGGTCATCGAACTTCTGAAGGAGAAGGGGCTGTATGTCAAGTGGGAGCACAATCCTATGAAGATCCCTCGCTGTGCCAAGTCCAACGATGTTATTGAGCCCATCCTCAAGCCCCAGTGGTGGATGAAGATGGAGAGCCTTGCCAAGCCTGCCATCGAGGCTGTCGAGAAGGGTGACATTGTCATCAAGCCAGAGTCTGCTGAGAAGAGCTACTTCCGCTGGATGAGGAACATCAACGACTGGTGTCTTTCCAGACAGTTGTGGTGGGGTCACCAGGCTCCTGCTTACTTTATCAAGATCGAGGGCGAGGAAAATGACGACAGTGATGGAAACCTCTGGGTCACCGGCCGTACCGAAGAGGAGGCTCGCAAGAAGGCCGAGGCCAAGTTCCCTGGCAAGAAGTTCGATTTGGTGAGGGATCCTGACGTGCTTGACACCTGGTTCTCCTCTGGACTGTGGCCCTTCTCTACCCTGGGCTGGCCCAACAAGACTCACGACTTTGAGAACTTGTATCCCACCTCCGTTCTCGAGACTGGTTGGGATATTCTGTTCTTCTGGGTCGCCAGAATGATCATGTTGGGTATCAAGTTGACCGGCCAGGTTCCCTTCAGGGAGGTGTACTGCCATTCTCTGATCCGAGACTCGGAGGGCCGTAAGATGTCCAAGTCTTTGGGTAACGTCATTGACCCCATTGATGTTATGGAGGGTATTCAGCTCCAGACACTGCATGACAAGCTTCTCCTTGGTAACCTTGCCGAGAAGGAGGTTGCCACCGCTACCAAGTACCAGAAGAAGGCTTTCCCTAAGGGTATCCCCGAATGTGGTGCTGACGCTCTGCGTTTTGCCCTTGTGTCTTACACTACCGGAGGTATGTTATTTCCAAGACTTTACTAGCGAAACATAGATGTCTAACTGTCTACTAGGTGGTGATATTGCATTTGACATTCAGGTTATCCACGGATACCGTCGCTTCTGTAACAAGATCTACCAGGCCACCAAGTATGTCCTCGGCAAGCTGGGTGACGACTTCAAGCCTCAGCCTACCGTTTCAAAGACTGGCCGCGAGTCCCTTTCTGAGCGCTGGATCCTGCACAAGTTCAACTCTGCTGCCAAGGAGATTAATGAGGCTTTGGAGCAGCGTGAGTTCAACGTTGTTGCTACTACTGTGTACCAGTACTGGTACGCCCAGCTCTGCGACGTCTTCATTGAGAACTCGAAGTTCCTCCTTGCTCCTGAAGTGCCAGCTGAGGTGCAGGAGTCGGCTAAGCAGACTCTCTACACTGCTCTTGAAGGTGCTTTAACCTTGATCCACCCTATCATGCCCTTCGTCACGGAAGAGCTCTGGCAGCGTCTGCCTCGCCGTCCCAACGACAACACCATTTCCATCATGAAGGCCCGGTACCCCGAATACAAGGCTGAGTTCAATGACACCGAGGCTGAAACTGCCTACGAACTTATCTTGAAGACCTCGAGCGCCATCCGTTCGATTCTTGCCCAATATGAAATCAAGACCAAGGGAGACATCATCATCCAGACCTACGATGCCACCAGCCACAAGACGCTCTCGGAAGAACTGACTAGCGTCAAGTCTCTGGGTGGTAAGTTCCTGGGCGATCTCAGCATTCAGGGACCCGAGTCTACTACTCGGCCATCGGGTTGCGTGGTGTCTGCTGTTGGCTCTGAGGCAGCTGTCTTCCTGCGCGTGTCCAAGGAGGTCGCTCTTGAACAGGAGGAGAAGGCCAAGGCCAGCCTCGAGAAGGCCCGTGCCGTTGTGACTCGTCAGAACAACCTCATGAGCAGCGCTGCATGGAAGGAGAAGGCTAAGCCCGAGGTGCGCGAGATGGAAGAGAAGAAACTCAAGGATGCTGAGAGCGAGACTGCTCGTTTGGAAGAACAGATTCGTGAATTCGAGAAGCTGCGACTAGAGTAAAGAGTAGATGAGCTCTGCATATAGTTAGTACCCTATAAAAGGTGAATTTAAGACTGTTCAAACAATTATTTTTAGCTTGTATTTCTTTTATTTCGAGGTATACGTCGTTTCCTGAGCAACGGCTTTCGTTTCGCCGAGGTGCTGCACTAATCCTTGCCGACCTTCTTGTAGGATCTCAATAACAAGATATTATTCAAGCAAAATCTTTCCTGAGACTGGACGCATAGCTTGCGAGACTTCCCCATATGAGGCTGGGTGGTAATAAGCTTATCGATAAGAGACGCCAAGACCTTTCCGCCAAAACTTTTCGTTCCGCCTTTTTCTAAATTTTGATCCTCACTAGAGATCAGCCGCTGAGCAGGCACCATCTGGAAGATTTTCCACCGAGAAGCCATATTTCAAGATGATGCTCAGAGAAGTGTAAGCCCTACTATATATCCCTGTAAGAGTATGTGTATGACGTGGAAATACTGACCGGTGAAAATCTCTGCGACAGAAAACCTAAGAATCCGCGCACGGCGCGAATTCTCAAAGCCAAAGAACCCCAGCTCATCGAAGGAGCCAAGCGCACACTGTTACTGCACGGCTCGAAATGTCCGACACCGCTCCACACGGTCCTTAAAACCTTCCACTCCCTGACCCGGCCGAACTCGATCCTGTTCCACAAGAAGAATGAGAATATTCACCCGTTCGAAAGTGCAGAGAGCCTTGAGTTCTTGGCCGATAAGAACGACTGCGGTATGGTGCTGTTCGGCAGCAGCAATAAGAAGAGACCGAACTGCATTACTATGGCTCGGGTGTTCAATGCCAAGCTGCTCGATATGTGTGAACTGTTGTTGCTTCCCAGCCCGGATGGAGACCAGATTCCCTCGATGAACAACCTCACCATGAACGTTGGTATGGGATTACGGCCGCTGCTGCTTTTCTCCGGCACCCCCTGGGATGATCCTACGTCGTCGGCGCATGTCATGCTGAAGAGCATGTTCATGGATATGTTTAAGGGCGAAACTACGGATAAGATTGATGTGGAGGGCTTGCAATATGCGCTCATGGTTGCTGCTGAGGAACCCACCGATGGCTTGTCGCCTGTTGTTCATCTGCGGTGGTACAAGCTCAAGACGAAGCGCAGTGGACATAAGCTCCCACGGGTGGAGTTGGAGGAGATCGGTCCCAAGTTTGACTTCAAGGTTGGACGTACCCAGGAGGCGCCTCGGGATGTCATGAAGGAGGCGATGAAGCAAGGCAAGCGGCCTAACGAGGAGTTTAAGATGAAGAAGAACATCGGCATGGATTCTATTGGTGATAAGGTCGGTCGCGTGCACTTGACCAAGCAAGATCTGGGCGGATTACAGACGAGGAAGATGAAGGGTCTGAAGCGGCGTGCCGGCATGGAGTCGGACGAGGAGGATGGGGATATGATGGATGTAGATGAGGTTTCGGAGGATGAGGGACGGAAGAGGACCAAGACGGCTTAAAAAATGTATTCATTTGATGAAGTTCCCTCCTTTTCTATCACGCACGAGGCGTTACCGGCGGATTGGTTTCTCTGTTGACTATGCCAAGCAATATAGCTGCTTCTCTATAAACCCCGTTTGATGTTGTTCATGTGTATAGATTTACGTTCCTGCTCTCTACAAGGGAAAAAGTTCGGGCACAACCATCGTTAACATCTAGCCCTAAAGTCCCCGTACTGTATAGATGAATATATGCCTGACTGCCTGAGGATGTTTCCTGATCAGCAGGCGCCCACGTGACCAGTGACGTTTTTGGGGCTTTTCGGCGCAGGCTCACATGCCGAGGGATCTTTCGCATTTGCGCGGAAGCAGAAGATGTCCTTAATTGCCGCCCTCCCCACCTTCCTGTGGTCCTGGCTTTCTAATTACTATATTTTCTTTGGGCTCCAAGACGATACTTCCTTTCTTCATCGTATGACCTCCCCATGATCCGAGACACATCGAGTGATCTCCGTCGGTGAAACTGTCCCATATCGACCTGTGCTGCTCATCCGATCGGCCTGCCGAGGTCCCCGACGAGTCACTATGGATGCTCTCATGGTAGGATGAGATGTTCCCTTACTACCCCCCAGCCGCCGTTCGTGCCTTTCTAATCGCTGTGTAGTCCCGTTTAGATACTATTGTCACCAACCCCGACCTTGCACCTATTCTAGCGCTAGTTAAGACCGTCCGTAATGGCGCAGTATACGGCGCAAAAGTGCGGTTTCCGCATGCGTTGGTGTATGTCCAACCCCGGGGAAGATTGGATTCTACTGGGAACTATAGCTGATATGCCGATGTATTTTCTTACAGGATGATTTTCCTCTTTCGCTCTGGAACGTAAGCGATCCCGTTCAGTGTGACTGTCATACGAGACCGTGTGCTGATATACTCTATAGCTTCCGAGAAAAAGCAAAGCTTGTCCTGAAAGCCACACGTCAGCATGCCCGGAACCTCGCGACCTTTGCTTTCATATACAAGAGCTCTATGCTCGTGCTGCGGAATGTGAACCCCTCTGGAGTCGGAAAGGAGGGACGGTTTGACAGCTTCTTTGCTGGTCTGCTGGGAGGGTATGCCGTGTTCGGCCGGAACAAGACCAGTATCACGCAGCAGGTACGGACAATGAACACTATGGCAAGGACGAACCTGGGCTAACGCAGACCATGATAGATTGTTATTTACGTTTTTGCCCGTGTGCTGCTGGCTCTTGCCAAGCTGTCCGTGCAACCGAACATGCACCCCCTATCGTCCCTTGTAACCCCCAGTGCTCGAGCCGATATTGAGAAACACGCATGGCCAGTCTTTGCCAGCTTGAGCTGGGCTATGGTTATGTACATCTTCCGCTGGCACCCGGACACCCTCATGTCGAGTCTGAAGAGTAGCATGGTTTACATGTATGGCCCTTTATTCTCTTTTTGCAAATTGATCCTTACTGACGCTCCTTAGCTATTCCGACTGCGATCACTGGGATTCATTCCGCAACTTTATGATCCACAACAAATAGACGACGACCTTGCATCAGTGTGCGATTTATCTTGAGCGGCTGGGTCAGCACTTTACTTCGGCGTATAGACGGCGCTCCTGTTTTCTTTCTTGTCGATTTTTCCTCTGTATTATCTTTATGTTTGGATGGGCTGGACTACGATATCCCACTTGAAAGTGGTGCTGCCTACTGAGCAGCCCGAGTAAGCTGCTGAATGATTAAAGCCCTCCCGCAGGCGGATGGGGGAGTTGATGCTGCCAGGGCGATGGGCTCTGATTGTAGATAGGCGAGTGAAATAAAGCCATACCGGAGCATTGTGTGTCTTATACCCTAATGGTGCGGCCATGCCGCCGTCGTTATGAACCTCCATGCTTCTCGCACAGTTCCCAAACACTAGGCCTGAGTAAACTAAAGAACTTCATCCTGCGTTCTACTACAGTTGAATATATGTTGTTGTTGAGCACGTCTGGATATACAGTCTCCTAAACGTTGACGCCGTGAGTAACCGAGGCCGAGAGCCATTGAATGTAATAACAACAAAATCTATATTTCTTCCCCAACCAAGGGTCTATTTGCTGTGCCCATGTGTATCTCACTGTATATTCCCAGTCTTGTTCTCCCATATTGTCTGTCTGTTCTCTGCAATCCGTCCACACCTCACAGCTTGCTTTTCGGCTCTACCAACCTCTCAACCTCGGCAAACTGATAATAGAAGTCCAAACTCTTCGCATTCAAAAGCGTCCCCGAGGGCTTAATCTTCTTCCCCGAAACAATCTGCTTCACAGGCAGCTCAACCTTCTTGAGATTAACCGTCGTCTACAACCCCATTAGCTTGCGCTCGCACTTGCACACGGAGGAGGACCACTTACCGGAATCTCAGGCGTCTGGAAGACATACTTCGGGACATGTCTCGCACTGAGCGCCTTGCGAATCGCCTCCTTAACCCGGCCCACCAGCTGCGGCGTGAATTCGCGCCCCGGCCGCATGAGCAGGAACAGCATCACCGATTCATCAGTATCCTGGGGTCGTCGCTGGCCCACGCAGATCGAGTCTGCGATTTCATCGGCGAATCGCGTGTCGATTACGTTGTAGATTTCGGCGGACCCGAATCGGATCCCGGATGGGTTGAGCACTCCATCCGAGCGGCCGAGGAAGAAGATTTGCTTCGTGATCGGGTGGATGCTGATGAAGTCGCCGTGGGTCCAGACGTCTTTTCTTATTGTTAGTATACAGGGACACACCTGATAGACAGGTGGGGACACTTACTGTCAAACCGGGCAAAGTAGGAATCGAAATACTTCTGCGGTCCGTCGGCTCCGAGGAACTTCACCGGCATCGTTGGGAATGCTGCCGTGGCGACGAGTTCGCCCGGTACGCCGTCTGGAACTGCCGTCCCCTTGACCCCAGACGCTCCTTCGTCCGCTTGGTCGAACGCTGCAATGGGAAGCCCGAGACTGGGTCCCTGGCAGCCGCCCACGTACAGAGGCGTCAGCGGGTTTTCGAGGCCGAAGCACGCGGCCAGGTCGGTCCCTCCGGAGATGTTGGCTAGCTGCGTGTGAGCCGGGAAGCCCTCGTCGTAGAACCATTCGAACAAGGACTCTGACAGCACCATGCCGGTACTGGTGACAATGGAGAGATTGGAGAGGTCCGCGATCTCCCTCGGCCGGACGTTGTTCTTCCGTAGCTCCTGCAGATACCGCGGCGAGGTACCGAAGTGCGTCACCTTGTACTCGCCCAGCAATCGGATGAGGAATTTCACGTCAGGCAGGAAGGGACTTCCGTCATATAGGATGGGTTTCCCGCCGAACATCAGGCCCGTGATGGCGGAGAGGTACATGATCCATCCCGTGGTCGTGTACTGTAGCACGACAGACTCCGGGCTATGAACCCTATGTAACCGGGCCTCTTTAGTGCCGTTGAGGATATACCCCCCGACCCCATGAACAATGGGCTTGGGCTTCCCCGTCGTCCCCGACGAGTAAACGACCAGGAAGGGATCGCGGAACCCAATGCGGACAAACTCCAGCTCATCGGAGCGGGCCTGGGCCAGGAATGTCGCCAGCGACTGCGTCTTCGGCACACCAGTCAGATCAGCCGGCTCCGCAAACCGAGGCACTGCGACCACGCCCCGGAACTCCTCGACACCACCCAACCCACCAACAATATCCCTAATCTTGGGCCGCAGATCAATCCGCTTCCCATTGTACACCGCCGCATCGTCAATAAACACCCACTTCGGCTGCAGCTGCAGCAACCGATCCAGAATCCCCTTGACGCCGGTGTCGGTCGACGCGACGAGAACAGCGCCCCGAGCGCCGTCGTCGCCAGCAGTATAACCAGTGTATCGATACTGTTGCTCGCCACCACCGCCACCCGATCTCCCTTGACTACCCCCGCTGCCTTCAAGGCCTGGGTTAACCGCCCCGTTCGCTGTCGCAGCTCGCGCCAGGTGATGCTGATCGCTGGCTCCGAGCCACCCTCGCGGATCTGTGTCAGGGCAATCTTGCCGTCTTCTTTGTTTGTGGTTGTGATCTTCAGATCGCCATTGGGGGCCCGCTCACCGGCGAAGAGCATGTTCTCGGCGAAGTTGAGCCGGATGCCCTCGAACCAGGTCGGGACGCTGTCTATGCGGGCTGATTCGTCGACGACGGTGGTGTAGGAGCCCTCGTGGATGATGGGGAAGTAGTCCCAGCAGAAGGCCCAGAAGGCGGCGCGGTTGTGGATGGACCATTGGTAGAGGTCGTGGAATGTCTGTGCATGGTTAGATTGGTTATACTCCTTCATGTAGTAAATGTAACACGTACAGGTAATTGAAGCCCCTTCTCAGCTTCTAGCTTTTGTTTGAAGGCCCACATCTCTGTAGATTGGGGGTTGGCATGTTCCCACAGTTTGCGGGGAAGGGCGGAGGACGGGGAAGTCATGGCTGCAATGGATGTGTTTCTGGGGTGATACGGTGGAGAGAAAGAGAGATGAATAGGTCAATTGAATCTTCGCTCGAAAAGGCCCAGCCTGAACACGGCCATCATGGTGATACAAGCAGTGCTATTTATACGTCGGCGAAGATACGCCGATTTCGCCTCGGTTATCGAGCGGGTTATGCGGAGATGCGGGGGAACTTCCACTGCTTATTCCCACCATCGTAAACCCTATTTATACCGGAGTGAAATGCGATTGGATGCTAGTGGGTGCATCTGGAGCTGTCAAGAGGCGATGGCTGGATCTACTCTAGCGATTTATCCGAGATGGCAATGCCGATCAGTAATCCGGCGTCGGTACTGGTTAGGGTTAGCTTGGAGGTTCGGTACTTGTGGCTACTTTACGTGGAAGATGTCCACATCTGTGAACTAAATGAAGGAGGGTGTATAACGGTGTACTAACGGTGTATTAACTAGGGAATATGTGTCTTTGGGCTTTGACTGTCTTTGCTTGTTTGTATTGTGTGGCTAATGTTCTTTTCGTTTCTTTGTCTTGTTTTTGGGGATTCAACCATATCCTGCGATAGTCTCTGGTTTTGGTGTTGATGAAGATAAGATTCGGTTAAAGATACTACTACAGCTATACTATATATACGATCATATTACGCTATTCAATATAAGACCAATATCAAGCTCTCTGTCAATAGAACTGACCAAGCAGGAGTCAGTAATAAGGTGAAGACCGAAGACAAAGCAGTCTTGGCAAGTTGGGGATTAGGGCATACTTTCCGCATCCGGTAATCGATTTGGAGGATTTGTAAGAGCCACCCCCAAGCCTTTTGATCCTATTGTGCTCCTAGATGAGTACCGAATTCTAGTTTACTATCTAAGATAATCAACATTTCAACAATTGCAAGATAGGACGAAATCTTAACATAGTCGGTACATACACAAAACCGCCAAACAGATACTCAAGAATGGTGTTTGGATGTAGTTCATGATATAGCATAATCCGTAGACTATGCATGCTCACTCAGCTCAACTTCTTTGTTTTGCTTGCCAACTGACAGAAAATTGCTACGGCCAAAAACATGCCCCGAACGCTCAGACAAGGCAAGCAAACAAGCTTGACGTAGCTGGTGGCTTGGTCCTGTATTCTCCGAACTTGATTCATGATCCGTCTTCCATGATAGATTCCACGACTTTGGTATTAAGCAAAGCATAAAATAGGATCTACCACGGAAATCGTCTGTTTCAAACTCCACTTCGCCATCGAATAGAATAGACGCGGCCTGGTTTTCATCGAATCGGGAAACCGCCCAGACTGATTCGTAATGCTGCAAAAGCCGGCCTCGGCGGATAAGCCAGCCAGGGTCAGATGGTGGACAAACTGCCTCTAGGAAAGGGAAAACGGAATTTAGCGTAGGCATGGAAAAGTCTAGCGAGACTGATTAGTTGCGTACGTCCGAAGGGTTGCAGGAAAGACAGACAATCTGGGCGATGGCGAACTTTGAATATAATTAATTCCAGCGACTCCTTCTCCGCGTCCAGCGACTGCCAGAGCGCATCATCAACGGTGTTCTCTGAACTCAGGTGGGCGAGATGAGAACGGAAATCACGGGTGCCAGCTCTGAGTACGTATTAGTCCTGATTCAGAAGAGGCCCGGCCGATTTCTTACCGTTCTTCAATGTGCATGCTAACTATCTCACGTTCGCCCTTTGCTATGCCTCTCAACGGCCGAGGTTTGCCATGATTTATCCGGAAAGGCCACTTGGGAGAGACTGTGTACGCCTCGGAGAAGTCATATAAGACCGTATCATAAAAGTCACCAGGAAGTCTAAAATGCCCGTCCTGGACGTCTCCATGAGTGACCCCCAGTCGATGTAAGGCATCCAGGCGACGAAGGCGGTCGTTTAGCAAAGATATATACCAGTCGCGCTCAAATGAGCTTAAGGGCAGCTTCGCAAGTGCCTCCAAGGAGATTTCTGGTAATTGAGAGGCGCGCTCAGCAAGGATACGCCGAGAAGACAACTTCGGTATAATGGCTTCCAGCACGACCGCTCGCTGATGAACATATCCTGACAAGAACCTATCTCTTTGCATGTCGGTAACTATACCATGGAATTTAGGGAAATATATTCTTTCCCCGCGGGAACAGAATCGGTCAATCTGGGTATATGCCCGAGCTTCTCGGACGAACCTATCAAAGTTGAGCACAGCATTGTCTATCATCTGGGGGATCTGGCGCTTCGACACCCTGAGCCGGTATAGCTGCGACGTGACCTCCCTCTTTGTATAGTCGGGAAACTAAAATGGAATGAATTCTTCATAGAGCGCACAGCTAAGGGACCAACTGACCACTTTGCCTACGTATCTTCTATGTCCATTGATCAGAAGCCAGAGAACTTGTATCCTGGTCTCGTCTATCGGTCTTGTCTTATCGGCCAGGCCTCGTAGTTTCCAAGCTTCATCTCGAGAACAGAAAGGTCGGAACTGTTGATCGGCCTTGATTTCATTCACGAACTCTGGAGGATTGCCAGAGAAGAAAAAATTTATCCAGGAGTCTTCTTCCTCCATAATAATCGTGGACAGGTGCTCTGACAATTGGATAAATTGACTATGGATCGGTGAATTGTTGGGTAAGAGTTCAATGTAATAATGGAGCCGCTGTCGGCACCCTGTCCAGACTCCCAGTACACCGCTTAGGCAGCGTTTAGGCTACCAGCCGTGAGCCATGATTGTGGCATGCTGATCTCGTTCAATCTGCAAGTGAATTTAATCCGAAATTACAGAAACAGAAGCAGAGAGAGTTGATTTTTCCACTATTCCGGATGCTCCCTTGCTGCTGGAGCTTCCTACTCCGCGAATGTATGTTTCGTGTCGTGCGAGTCACTGCCACCAATATGATTCTATCCTTGTCTATAGATCCTTCGTCCGCGTTACCATACCAGAGTCAGCTGTTGACTACATTGAACTACCTTAAATGGCCCGACCATAGATACTGTCATTCAAGAAGTCTTCCATCCAGAACCATTCGTCGAGATTGAAGTTCAAGTCCTGGTTCTCTTCAACAGTTTCCACACCTCCCTTTAGACCCTCGACAGGCACCGGAGAGTTCATAGCTGTTATTACCGGCGTCAGGAGCCCAGTACCCGCATCCAGCACACCCAAGCCATGGTTTTGAGTAGACTGAACTGTCGAACTATCCGTCTCGCCCGGCCTGATCTCCCTCTCAAACTCCATAATATACGCCCCAACCGTAACGCCCATCGTCTTCTTAAACGCCCGACAAAGATAACTCGGCGTAACCCCGACCTCCTGTGCCAGCTCCTTCAAGCCCTGCTTCATCGCCACCTCGTCCTTCTTGATCCGCAAAAGCGTGATAACTCTCGCGACAACCTCCTCCTTTCCCCCGAGAAAACTCGGGTTATCTGGCTCGCATCTCTTGCACGGCCGGAAACCATCACGGCGCGCCTGGTCTTCTGTGTCGTAGAACACAACATTGGCTCTTCGAGCTATGCGCGCAGCACAGGTGGGGCGACAGTAGATCTTTGTGGATTTGACGCCGTACAGAAAGGATGAGTGGGATGATGGGGCGCGATGTGTAATGGCAAGCCAACGGGAATGGGAGGTTTGAAATAGATCAGGACTGACAGAGGGAGATTGTGTTTCCATAATTGTTTCAAGTCTAGAGTTGGGCAGAGGAAAGTCGGAGTGACGTTGCGAAGTATAAAAGTGAGCCTTTGGTGCTGAGGGGTATAAACCAGCGCTATACCGGATCGAGTTTTAGGGCTATCATAGGGGAGTGCGTGATTCTGTCATTCTCAACGCCAGATATTGGGTCTAGAATTTGGTCTAATGGTCTATTCGTATAACAATATACACTAACGCTCTACCACTTGATCCTCCAATCCCACCCCTCTACTTTGATCCTGACCCAGAGAAAACACAGTGAAGCCGCCAGATAGCCGAGTCCCGTGAAAAGTGCGATGCCCCAGTATTTTTCTTTCCTAGCCTCCACCGCATTCAGAAGGCTCCCAGCGCTTGATCAATGGGGAAGAGGTCGACATTGCTTGAACCAGCTTGTGCCTGTCCGCTACATTCCCTAATTGCCAACTGTCTGCTTTCACCCAACTCAATACAGATCGACCATCCCCAGCCGACTTGAAGGAGGAGTGCTTGTAACATCAGAGGAAAGATAGCACTCCCCGTTTGCCAGTCTGGGTTTTCTTGAAGGTGATATTGGCCGATAAAAGAAAAAGAATAGTAATATTATTGTGCCCTCCACATCCTCAAAGATTCTTATTTCCCGACGCATATTTCAGTGACCAGTGAATAAGTTAACTGTGGCGTTCCGGCAGTATTCAATTCCAGGCTGTCTTGTGCGATGAGTACCTCTATGGACGAAATATCGATGGCCACACATAGTGTACAATGTGTAAATGAATGGTAAGAAGTTTCGTGATTGTGTGTTGATCGAATTGTATGTTATTATTGCAATTAAACAGAGCTTTGTGGAGTTTGTGATGAGAATGCATATTCCAGAAGAGTGTTTCGAGAACAGATGACAGATAGATAATTATATGAAGTCTGAGCGTGCAAGCCGTCTCTGCAATTATCAGAGTACGTGGGCCCATTGCATAAAAGGTCGGTTCAACTTGCACCCCACAGACCCAGTTCACGAAGGCATAGACTGAGAATATCCAGCCCGTAGCCGATTGAGAGTATTCCGACAAGAGGACTTTGGAGACAACGACCTCAGACACACTGGCTGCGTTGGAGATCAGGCATCACGGCTATCCTCTGGATAAAGAATCAAGATCGTTGTCAGTGAGCATCTCCTGCTTTTCATTGATTGTATGCGAAAAATTCACTAGGGACGAACCGTTTCTTGAGGTTGGCGTCACTCTCTCAAAATGCTTCACTTTGAAAGTCCTGCAATTGCTCGGAGTGAAGAAAGTGAGACGTTAACCAGTAGAGTAGTAGAATGGTAATCAGCCCAAGCACAGCACTACCAACACTTTTGGATAGAACGTATAGTCTTGGCTATATAGATGTATGATAACCAAAGTGCTAGTAGTCAATCGGCGACAAGCTACGGAGCAATGAACTCAAAGTGGCCAATCCCAGCCAAGCCCTAACTGTTCAACCTTAATTCATGATTCATTGCACGTCGACCCCGGATTAGTGAAATAATATGGTGTATGTGTATATAGAGTAATGAACGACCCGACTGTACTTAATGCGCAAAACAGCGTATGTCAGTAGGCCCCGTTGAATCTGAGATCTCATATTTACATGCTCTCAAAAACAACAGCCCCGGCCTAGTTTTACCATGGAATACCGCATCCCTAGTTCGAGATAAACATGCCACACCCTCTGTCCGTTCCAAAGTCCTTTGGATATAGCCAGGGATGCCTTCGTCTGTCCTTGATTATCAAGTAACCTTTGGCGATCCAGGTTGTGCCACCGCCTGTCCCGTCCCCCGGTGTTGCAATACCTATCCCAAACCGCCCTGAAAACATCCTCCGAGTCATCTACATCATCTACAATATCGCACCATACATTGTAGTTATGCACGCCAATGAGGATCGCCATATGTTTCTTCATGTCGCTCTTCGTGCCAGTGTTGTTGCCACCGTCATTGTCACTGAAGAGAAGCACGCCAGCATGCCCGCTACGCCAGGACGTCAATTCAATGGTTTTCTCGCTCGACGTCCAGCTCACCTCGGGGTGGGAAGAGCTGCTCAGGTTTGCGGGAGGGGGACGGTGAACCACAAAGATATATCGTGACTCCGGCCTCATCCATTCCGTTATCTTGAACCTTGATGCGTCGGTTTCTGTGATGTAGATCGTTTTGTCTCTAAAGCTGGACGTGTCCTTGTCTTCGTAGGTCTCGTGAAGGTTAGTCCGGACAAATGTGTCATCTCCAGCCCCCGGTGGCTTTTCCAGGCGGATCACGAATGGCTTGTTATCACGCCCGCAGCTCAGAGCCGCCAGACCAGAACTTGACGAGCCATCAAGGAGGAGACGCAGAGTGATATGCAGACCTTTGTTGGTCATACTGTACGGCAGTGAGTCGCATAACCTACGTATGCCCTTCGACCTTCTGAAATCATGAGGTGATCTGGCCAGAAGCCCGCTCGGGCTATGAGGATCATCTCTAGTCCATGCAAAGATGGACTGATCGTCCGACACCTTGAGGATCTCCCTCTGCAGCCGCTCAAACGCCTTCTCGCCTTCCCCATACAACATTGGCATGCTGACCCCGAACAGCCCCATCAAACAATACGCCTGGTCTTCCACTCGCGCCGTTGTTCGATTAGCAGCCCATGACATACGTTCGGCCACGCTAACCTCGCCTGCACAGTTCATCAAAAGAACCTCTGCTGGAATCCCAGTAATCTGGGTGATGACTGGATGGAGGCTAGCTTTGGTCCCGATCTCCTCCCATTTCTTGTTGAAGAACACGACATACAGTGGCGCTAACAACTCTTGCAATGTCCATCCTCGCTGAAACCAGGCACTCTTCCGAAATTGAGATCCATCCTTAAATGGATCATCGCCGGGCTCTACATCTGCCAGGTAAGCATAGCAGACCTGTGCATTGCGATACCAGTGGAACATGGAATTCAATGCTTCTGAGAGTTCTCCGGGATTGGACTTATTGATACAGCATGTATCAACCCAGACATGCTTCAGCTCAACCTTGCTGGCGAGCTCACAGCAGTTCTTTATCTTTTTGTATCCAGGCTTCTTGGTCATTTCATCGTCATGAATCTCCTGGTTGATCTGGTCGAATGTGATTTCATCTTTCTCGAGGCCCCATCGATGGGATAGGATGGCGTATTCAGGGATGTCTTGAACCTTGGGAGGCACGAGCCTTTTTTTTCTCTGTGTCTAATAATCTGATCATTGTGGATGATATAGGGGACCTTGACTTTGGCAGTCTTTGGAGCTTGCCAGGTGGGGACTGTAAATAAATGAACAGAGTGTGTAGCAGATGTAGAGGCAAGGACAGGAACAGAATCTGAGAGCACACCAGCTGCTCCACGATGCTATAAGTAGTTCTCTGCCGTCTCTCAGCTGCCTAGGCGAAACTTAACAAGGATCCACCGTCAGCTCCCCCACTCTGGCAGCTGAATGACGATCCCATATACATATTACATCGTGCAGGTAGGCTCCACTTTTCGCAGTGCCTTTCAGTGGAAACACGTAACACTGAATTGGTAATTTGGAGTATCAGTTTATCGTATTTCCTTCCAGGTGATAGGCTACTATGGTTCATTGTTGAGAAGACCCAACATATAGTTGTGTCTGTTTCCATTTGATCGACATAGCGTTCCTCGAGCGGCCGTCAGTCAGTAGAGGCTGAGTCGCTTTGTGGGAAGCGGATTACAGTGTCTAATTTGTCTTCACTAATGGTTTCTTCCCCGTTCACCTATTCTGTAGCTATTTCATGAGAAAGCAAGATTTACATTCTTTTGTCGATGGCATGGAATTTATAGTCTGTTATACATAGCGAAGCGGCCACATTACACCAATATCAATATTTGGCTTTCAGCCATTAGCTAGGTATAATGAACGAAATTGTATCGTGTAACCCTCGAAGGATATAATGTATTCCAACTTGCCATGGCAGGCGGCTTGTCCCCTGAAATTCCAGGTATGTCTCCGTCACTCCATCGAGGCTCAGTTCTCGATTCGCCTCTCCACGGGGCATATCAACTTTCCACCATGCAAATGGTCCAAAGGCTACAATGCTGCCCTGATCTGCGAGTCTCTCGATGCAATGGGTACCCTCTAATGATTGCTGCTCAAGGCTTTGAGGATCGGTGCTGTGTACGCCGCTGGCCGGTCATAGCCGTATTCTGTTGCAAGCGGCAGTATCGAATGGCCCGGCTCCGGTCCTTGATATTTCGCATGATACCGAAGCATAGGCTGTTGCAGCATTCCCGGCGGCCCTCGGTACTTGTTGACTCAGCTGGCCATTACATCCAGTGCGCAAGTAGTAGTGGGGTTATATATGAATTTATTCCCGCTCGTGCTGTGGGGTGGCGCCAACACATCTGCGCTAGGCCCACCTCTGTGGCACAACATGCATGAAAGCTGAACACGATACATAGGCTAGAAAGCTAAATACGAAGAATGCAACATGATTGAGCACGGGATTGGGTATAATCTTTCCAACTAACCTTTTTGGTCCCCATCGCTGATCTTCACAATCTGCAACCAGGACGGCGATCCAACAACGCGATGGAACCTCAGCTGGGGCATTCACTTGCTGCTCTCAGCACGCCAGATAGCCCCTCATGCTCTACTTACCGGGTATTCGAGGGTTGAATTTTGGTTAACTTAAACGTCAGCAGTATATCTAAAGGTCCGTAAAGTACGCAATGTAGGTCTAACGCCACTCTCAGGATCTAACCGTAGGTCTTGTCCGTAGGCGTGGTATCCACGTAATCGCTACCGCTGTTAACTAGCTATAACCTAGTATAAATCTCAACAGCGATGCAAGAATGTTTTCCAGACATCTCACTATGTGCCCACTTAGTTAAGATGAAGAGGGAGCAGTTATGTCCTTGTAGAGATGTTGAGGGGGAAGGATACGACCCATGATACGACTCATGATTGTGATGCCGTCGTATCGTACAATGGAGACAAGATCAACGAAT